TTACTGGAGCCACTCTCCACACACTTGGATAAGCCTCAGACATAACCGAACTGGCAGAGGAACCCAGGTGTGTGGGACCCGGGACTGAGATCTCTAAGCCTGCACGGTTTGGGACTGGACCTGTCAGTAGCTAAACAGTTACACCCTCCAACTGCCGTGTAACCCCAACAAAGGCCAGGATCCAAAGATTATCACAACAAGCTCCCGGGAGAGCACAAGACAGAGTCTCCTACCCTGTGTCTGACTATCCTCGCCAGGGCCCAACAGCTGAAGACTTCCAGGCCCCAACCAAGGCCTTACTGGAGCCACTCTCCACACACTTGGATAAGCCTCAGACATAACCGAACTGGCAGAGGAACCCAGGTGTGTGGGACCCGGGACTGAGATCTCTAAGCCTGCACGGTTTGGGACTGGACCTGTCAGTAGCTAAACAGTTACACCCTCCAACTGCCGTGTAACCCCAACAAAGGCCAGGATCCAAAGATTATCACAAGAAGCTCCCGGGAGAGCACAAGACAGAGTCTCCTACCCTGTGTCTGACTATCCTCGCCAGGGCCCAACAGCTGAAGACTTCCAGGCCCCAACCAAGGCCTTACTGGAGCCACTCTCCACACACTTGGATAAGCCTCAGACATAACCGAACTGGCAGAGGAACCCAGGTGTGTGGGACCCGGGACTGAGATCTCTAAGCCTGCACGGTTTGGGACTGGACCTGTCAGTAGCTAAACAGTTACACCCTCCAACTGCCGTGTAACCCCAACAAAGGCCAGGATCCAAAGATTATCACAACAAGCTCCTGGGAGCGCGCGGCCGCATTCGCGGCCGCGCGACTATTTATTTAATAATTTTTAGGATACCTTAAATATCCTTAAATATCCAACCCACACGGCAGAGCCTGGCAAGCTATCCGTGATCTATGCCAAATAGACCAAATTGATATGCCAAATCCAGTAATAAATGGATCTCATTCCCCTAGCCCTGATTATGCAGAGTCAAGAAGGATATGGAAGGAGAAGCTGATAAAACACCAAGGCAGACATGGGCTGCCAAAACGCAGAAAAACAAAAATTATTGTCTGTACTTTTAATGCTCGTACGCTGGCATCTGCTGCATCCATTGAAGACCTTATGGTACAAGCACGAAAGATCAAGTACGACATCATTGGTCTGACTGAAACGAGAAGACATCAATCCCATCATGCTGTTTTCGACACTGGAGAAGAACTGTTCCTTGGAAAATGTGATAAAAGAGGCGTCGGTGGTGTCGGTATCCTTGTCAACACAAACTTAGTCACAAGCATTGATTCATTTGAATGCCTAACAACCCGAATCGGACGATTACACTTGAATAAATGTGGCTCACTACCGGCAGTTTCTATCTTTGTTGTCTACGCACCAACATCCAGTTATTGTGAAAAAGAAACTGAGAAATTCTACATGGAGCTGGAGAAATTCTATAAAGAAGATCACACCTTCTACAAGATCATTGTCGGTGATTTTAATGCCAAGATAGGACCAAGAAGATCAGTCGATGAACTCCACATCGGAACCCATGGCCTGGAATGGAACGAACAAGGTGACAGACTGTCTGAGTTCATCATGTCAACCAAAACCTTCCATGGTAACTCACAATTCCAAAAGGCTGAATCTAAACGTTGGACATGGGAGTCTCCCGATGGACGGTTCCACAATGAAATAGACCACATCATATTCAATCGGCGGTTTTGCCTAACCGATGTTGCTGTTGTCCCAAAATTCCAAACGGGATCAGACCACCGTCTTCTTCGTGCAAAATTCTACCTCACAGAACGAGGAGAAAAGAATGCAAGGTTTAAGAAGAAGACTCCCAGAACAACCACCAACTGGGAACTCTTTGGCTCTGTTGCAGCAACATGGGAAGATGCCGTCATTGACAACATTGATGAGGAATACGATTGAATGATTCAGCACCTCCATGATTGTGCAAGGAATGCCAAGAGAGAGATAACCACAAAAAACCGTCTTTCTTCGAACACTCTTGAACTTATTCGCCAACGTGGCGTGGCACATGCCTCAGGCAACCACAAGCAAACGTCCGAACTGGCAAAACAGTGCAGAAAAGCCATCAAGGATGACCTCAAAAACAGGAGAGCAGCAGTACTGGTAGATGCAGCAGAAGCTGGGAAAAACATTCGTAATGCCCGCCTGTCCTTCACCAACTACAAAACCAAGATGACTGCCCTCCGACATCATGATGGATCTATCACATCTTCCAGAAGGGCAATGGAGAAGATTATTCATGAATTCTACTCAGATCTCTTTAATAGCCACATCCACTTGCCCACATACCACATACCACATGATGGATATGTCGTTCCCAATGTTCTCCCTTCCGAAATCCAACATGCCATCTCGTCGGTAAAGAAACAAAAAGCACCTGGCCCAGACAAGATCAGACCTGAACACCTGAAGAACTTACCATCAGTACTCATCAATACATTAGCTCGACTCTTCACACGCTACCTGTCTGAATGCAAGGTTCCATCCCAATGGAAAACCAGCAAGACTGTACTACTATACAAGAAAGGAGACATCCACGACATTGGCAACTATCGCCCAATCTGCCTATTGTCTGTCATCTACAAACTATTCACTCGAGTCATCCTGAATAGGATTAGCAGAACACTAGATGAAGGACAACCATGTGAACAAGCTGGATTCCGAAAAGGATTCAGTACCATCGACCATATCCACACAATAACCAAGCTCATTGAGGTATCTCGGGAGTTCAAGATGCCGCTCTGTCTAACGTTCATTGATTTAAAGAAGGCCTTTGATTCTGTTGAGACGGAAGCGGTCATGGAAGCCCTAGCCAATCAGGGCGTACAAACTCAATACATCAGGATCCTTCGTGAGCTCTATTGCGGATTCACTACCAAGATCTCACCATTCTACAAAGAAGTAATCATCCATATCAAGAGAGGGGTTTGGCAGGGTGATACCATTTCACCAAAACTCTTCAGTGCCACCCTCGAGAACATCATGCGACGACTAGAATGGGAAAACATGGGAGTGAAGATAGATGGTCGGCAACTACACCACCTCCGCTTTGCTGATGACATCGTTCTAATAACACCAAACATCAGCCAAGCGGCACAAATGCTTGCGGACTTTGACCGTGAGTGTGGAAAGGTTGGACTACAGCTGAATCTTACGAAGACAATGTTTATGAGAAACAGCCTTGTTCCTGACGCTCCATTCGCTCTCAACGGAACCACCATCTCCGAATGCAACAGTTATATATACTTAGGTCGAGAAATCAACATGATGAATGACCTGGCACCTGAGTTACGCAGGAGGAAGAGAGCGGCTTGGAATGCCTTCAAGAGCATTGAAGAAATAACTAAAAGGACAAAGAACCTCCAACTACGAGCACATCTCTTTGATTCCACTATTCTTCCTGCATTAACATATGCCTCAGAGACCTGGACCCTACGAAAACAGGATGAGAACACTATTCGGGTCTCTCAAAGAGGAATCGAAAGAACTATGCTTGGAATATCACGATTCACTCAAATGAGAGATAGAATCCGGAGTTCTGATCTTCGTCAACGCTCAAGAATCAGAGACGCTGTCTCATTTGCCAAGACATCAAAAATCAGATGGGCTGGACATGTAATGAGGTTTACAGACAACCGCTGGACTAGAGCCATTACTGATTGGATTCCACGAGACATCAAAAGATCACGTGGACGCCCACCTATAAGATGGTCAGACTTCTTCGTCAAGACCCTAAATGATCGGTTTGAGGCTCTACATGTTCCTAAAACGAACAGATACCATTGGGCTACGCTAGCACGCAACCGGGATGAATGGAGACGTTACTGGCACCCGCTCGAATAAATCGATGAATAACGGGGATTAAGTGATTAAGTGATATATATATATATATATATATATATATATATATATTTGCTTTTTTGGTCACACCCGGTGACTCACTGGGGTAACTCCTGGCTCTGTACTAAGGAATTACCCCTGGCAGTACTCAGGAAACCCTATAGGATGCCGGGAATCGAACCCAGGTTGGCGGCGTTCAAGGCAAACGCCCTACCCACAGTGCTATTGCTTCAGCCCCCTCAGTCTTTTGTTTTATATCTATTCATTAAAAAGCTTGGAGCCTGTTAATGGGTGTAAAACATTCAGAACAAAATGGTCCTTAACTACTTGAGGCTGTCACCTAACTTGCAAGTCAACTTTCAAAAAACAGAACAACTGAAATAGTAATATGACACAAATTATATTTAAAATAGGAAACTATTTTTATCACTCTTAAATAATTGACTTTTGCCTAAAGGTATGGAAGCTTATCACTAAAAATTGCAAAGGTAAAATAAACTGAAAACCCAAATGTGTCTTGATTTAAAAGGATTCTTAAAATATTTTTATCCCAGAATTTCTAGCCTTAGAATTTATAAATATATAAGAATGCACTTCTTTCTTTCCTAGCCTGCTTCTCCTTCCTCTGCCAGGCCAACCTCTGGTTCCACATGTCTAAGTAGTTCAATACATAGCAAGTCATGTAATCAGTTTGTTTTGTGATTGCTTATTAATATAATTTTATGTTTATTTAATATTGCATTTTAAAATACATTATTTAAATGTATTATTCAGATAAATATTTAAATAATAAGATTAAGGTGCTCCTAAGAACCTGAAGAAGAGCTACCTATTATTAAAATTCATAGCTAAGGACTAAAATTCATTGAATGAATGGGCAGGCTATATGACAGTGCTAAAAAAATTCACTGCAAGGAGTTATATAATATACTATATGTCACATTGGTTTGATTTTGCCATACTTGAGTTAGCTTCTTGGGGGCAGCATATTAATAATTAATGATAATATTTGCATATTTACTTCAATCTCCATTCTCTGAAAATAGTGCTAGAGCAATGATGAATGGTCATTGACATGTACTGTTTCTTATACTGACATGTCACAGTGGTGTTGTCTCTCACCTTGAAAGCTGTGAAGTCTTTCCAGAAACCCAGAGATGGGCTTTTCACTCAACAATGGCTCCAAAGGCTTGGGTATGTTCAGTGTCACTGACTCACACCTGCCAAAACAAAGAGCTGCATACTGACAGACCCAAAAGTCTCAATGATGGACCCACTTATTGAGGCTGCTCTCAGAATCTTCACTAAGTTTTTTTTTTTAATTTTATTGAATCATCGTGAGAAAGTTACAAGCTTTCATGTTTGGGTTACAATCACACAATGATCAAACACCCATCCCTTCACCAGTGCACATTCCCCACCACCAATCTCTCCAGTATAACCCCCCTCCCACCCTCCCCCCACCTCCATGGCAGACAATATTCCCCATACTTTCTCTCCACTTTGGGGTATTATGGTTTGCAATACAGACACTGAGAGGTCATCATGTTTGGTTCATTATCTACTTTCGGCACAGATCTCCCATCCCGACCGATTCCTCCAGCCATCATTTTCTTAGTGATTCCTTCTCTATTCCATCTGCCTTCTCCCCTCCGCTCATGAGGCAGGCTTCTAGCTATGGGGCAATCCTCTCGACCCTTGTATCTACTATCCTTGGGTGTCAGCCTCATGTTATGTTATTCTATGACTCCACAAATGAGTGCAGTCCTTCTATGTCTGTACCTCTCTTTCTGACTCATTTCACTCATGATGATACTAAGTTTTAAAGGTTGCAAATCCCATGAACTGAGATAGACTGGCTTTGTGATTGTATTTGCTATCCTGCTCTTATGCTCTTAAATTTCAGTCCCAGTAGAAAACGTCACCTCATTGATAATTTCTTTTTCTCCCTTCCAGTTTCTCCAGGGAACCCACTACAAGTATCTTGTGTCTAGAATTTTTGTAATTTGTCACATGCTACATATGAAACTTTAGCTCCATAGTACACTTCTTCTTAATGATTCTCCGTTTCACTTTTCCTCACCCTCTTTTCACCACTTGCCTCTTTATTTGAACTTATTATTAACCTTTTACCATAAAGAATTTGGAATAATCCTCAAAATTTAGGAGTTTTAAACTTAAAAAATAGAAAAGCATGGTCTTTTTGCAAATTTTGCATAATCCCTGCCATTGTAAATATCCCTATCAAATCCCTTCTTTTATGTACCAAATATAGAGCTTGAAAGTCTTTGGATAATGAAGGACTAAATACAGATTTAAAGACACTTCTTACTAAAAAGTATTGGTACATCTCAGCATAAGTAGTCACCACAATAATTAGCATGACTTGAAAAAAAGGAGTAAACTTACTTTGCCACTATCTGTCTCAACCCCTGTGAAGAGAAAGACACAGATTTTGTTTATAGTACAAGATGACTCTCCTGTTTATTCTAGTTTGAAGATAGGAGACTAGAAAGGAGCATTCAATATCTTGTTTTACTATTTGGGTAAAATATCTGTTGTTTCCTTTGCTATTATAAAAAGTTTTATTTTTATAAAATAAAATCTCATAGTTTATATAACTGATAGAATAGTGTTCTTGATAAAAGTTTAAGGAAAAGTTCTTAAGTTGAACAAAATATGAAAGAAAAAATAGATACTGTATTTTGTTGTAATCTACAAGATTCATAGGTTTCCACAAAGTTATTATAGAGATTTGTATGCTGCAAATTGAAGAATTCTTTCTTTAAAATTAGAGAATATTTCACCATCCTGCATATCATCAAGTTCAAGCTGAAATATTAAGAAGTTCTCTACACAGGTGGCTAGAATATATTAGATATAGTACAATTTAGTAGATATAGTAGAATTTATAAGAGAAAATTTAGTGGATATAGTATAATTTAGCCCAGACAAGACCTGCTTTAGTTCTTACCAAGAGCATGTGTTCATCCGTTTTCTGACACATGTTCTTCAGTTCATCATACAGGTCCCACAGTAGTCTCCCAAGATTAGTCATTTCAGATACATTTTTCTTAAGACCCTGTAGTATTTTCTTCCCTTCAATTTCCAGCAGTTCTAAATGTTTCTGTTTTTCTTCAAGGAGATATTGACACAACTTAGGATATTCAGCTTGAATCATTGTCTTCCGCAGATTGATAAAACGCTATAATAATATTGGATTAATGAAAAATATGTATAGATGCTTTATTATTGTACAATAATCTATTGTACAGTGGCCATAGTTTGTTTGGCCAACTGTAACTTAACACCAAGGACTTGGCAACTTATTAATAACAGAAATGCCTGCTAAGCACTTCCAGGAGTGCTACCTCAGAATGGAGCTAGGAGTAACTTCTGATCACTGCTCAGTATATGCCAAACTCCTCAAAAGAAATTATAAGCCTTATGACATAATAACCTCAAAATAAAATAGTTATGTTATTTCATGGTGGAAAATATTCGCATACAATACATTGGACAAAAGTATTAATATCCAAGAAGTGTAATGTACTCACATAGATAAAAAGAATAAAATCATAATTCCATTTAAAATGAGGAGAGATGAACACTTCCCTGAATAAGACATATAGGTGACAAGTAGGCATATAAAAACGTGTTTATTATCACTTATCTGGGAAAAGTAAGTCAAACCCACAATCGTTTCACACCCATGGGAATGGCATATATGATAAAGACTGGAAACTACCAGTGATGTAAGCAGGGATGTGGTGAAAATCAAACTCTCATTCACTGGTGATGGGAATGTTGCCTCATTCAGCCACTATAGTAAAAATGTATGAAGATTTCTCAGAAAAATAAGAATAAGACTTCCATATGACCTTGAGATCTCACTTCTAGGTGTCTACCCTCAAAGACAAAAACATTAATTCAAACATAAGCACACCTATACCTATTGCAGTATGTAGTAGAATAGACAAGATCTGGAGATAATAAGATACCCAATGAAAGACTAATATATAAGCTGTATCACATATTGGAAAGATAATATGATAAAAGAAAAAATATTGTAGTTTGCTGCGATGTGGATTAAAATGGGGTTTATCATGTTAAATTAAATAAATCAGAGGGAAAAGGACAAGTACCAGCTGATCTCACTTATGGTATATATATTATAAATCAAGAATTAATATACAGTATTGAACAATGAAAATCGCTTGGCCTTGGACTATAGAACTCAAATTATTAAGCAGTATGAATTATGGGGGAATGAAGAGGAGCAGTACTAAGAAAGAAGAGGTGAACTGCTTGTGGTGGAAAAATGTGGGCACTTTGGTGGTGGTAATGTGAAGTAACTTTGTGTATCGATACCGTAAATGCTAACACTTCATAATCATGTTATATAAATGACAGTAAAATAAATTATATACACAAATTGGTGAAAGTGTACTTCTCACAGCTGGGAATCCCAGATTGATGCTGGCATATTTGATGCCTGGGAAAATCCCACTATAGAGGCATCTGTTATGATGTATCCTTAAAGGCAGAAAAGGGAAGGGACCCTTATGGGCCCTCATTTAACATTGTGCCAACCCCATTCATGAGGTCTCTGCCTTTATGATCTATCATCTCCCAAAGGCCCCATTGCTTATTACCATTTTAGAATTACCAAATTTAGAATTTGAGCATTTTTTAAATTGACTTGTGTGTAAGTTGTGAGATAAAGTTCCAGTTTTAATCTTCAACACGTGATCATTCAGTTTTACCAACACCATTTGACAACACTGTTTAATTTTATTGCCTAATTGCTGTTGCTAGGGCTTCTAATACAATATTGTAAAAGAGGAGACAGTGGACATTCTTTCTTTACCTAAAAGTCCATTCAAATTTGACCAAATACCTTGAGATCACACTAGACCACAAAGATCTTGAGATAAAAAGACCATGAGGCTTAGGTGTGACCCTAATATCACACTATAATCTATAAAATACATTGAGAAAATATAGGTAGAGCACTTCAAGATCTGGATCTCAAAAATGTAAAGTGAGCAACAACAATAAAAAAATAAGCAAGTTCAACAGAATACAAATATACAAGGGCAACAGAATAAAAACCAAATAGGACTACTTCAAATTAAAGAGATTCTGAGCTCTGAGCCTCTCTGCTCCTTCCTTTTCGTCCCCCAAGCTGAGCTGATCTCTTCTCCCCACCCAGGTTAGTTCATCCGTCGCTTCTCAAACCCAGGACTTGGATTTCACCCTGCAAGCCCCCAAGGCATCCTCCGGACCTTGGGAGACAAAGCAGCTCTGAGACTCTCTGCCCGCAAGCTGAGCTGGGCTTCTCTCCCATCCAGTCTTTACTCCCGCCACACACAGCAAGTCCCCGTGGGGGTGTGCCCGCTTTAGAAGTGGGCATGGCTTATTTAGAAGTGGGTGTGGCCTAATTTTCAGCTGGCCGAGGCTTAGGCAGTGGCAGGTAGTTTACTCATACAAAGAAATCTACTCCCTACATCTACACACCAACATGAAGAAACAACGCAAATCCCCAACACAGGGAGAGGAAGATGAAACGAGTTCAGAAGCCTCAGTAGTTGCTCTTCACCTAAGGGACCTCTCTGACAAAGAATTCAGATATGAAGTCATGAAGATGTTCAATCAACTCAATGAAACAGACAGATATCCAGTAAATTGAAAGAGGACATGAAAGAAACAATGGATCGCACAATCGAGAAAATACAGGAAGAAATAAGAGCAGAAATTGGAAAGCTATGCACAGAAATGTCATGAATCAAAGATTCCATAGATGAAATAAAAAACTCAGTCTGTGCCCTCAAAAATAGAATGACCACAGCTGAGGAAAGAATTAGTGAGCTGGAAGATCAGCTGCACCAAGTCAACAGGCAACAACAAACAGTGGCAAGGGACCTCAAAATAGCTCTACAGAGAATTAGAGTCCTAAGAGAGGATTCCAAGAGAAACAATATTAGAATCATTGGACTACCAGAAGCTCAGGGAAACAATCCCAGTGAAAAAGCCATGGTTAAACAAATCATCGCCGAAAACTTCCCAGAGCTCAACAATGCAGCCACTCAGATTCAAGGAGCCCGAAGGGTGCCAGCTAAAAGAGACCCTAACAAAAACACTCCAAGACATATGATAGTTAGAATGATTGATGCTGCCAATAGAGACACAATAGTGCAAGAAGCAATGGCAAAGAAGGAAATCACATACAAAGGAGCACCCCTTAGATTCACAGCAGATCAATCAAAGGAAACCCTCCAAACCCAAAGGCAGTGGCGAGATATAGTGAAAAAACTCACTGAAATGAGTGCTTCACCAAGAATACTCTATCCGGCTAAACTCTCACTCAAAATTGAAGGAACAGTGCACAATTTTCTAGAAAAACAACAGCTCAGGAAGTTCATAGATTCAAAATCAAACCTTAAACAAGGGCTAAAGAGGCTACTATAAGACAAGACAAACCCTACAACCACAGCAGACCCTTACAAAAAGATGACACAAACCCCCATAAGAGTAATCTCTCTCAAAGTCAATGGTCTAAGTTCACCATTTAAGAGACACAGAGTGGAAAAATGGATCCAGAGATAGAACCCAACGTTCTGCTGCCTACAAGAAACTCATCTCAACAGTCAGAGCAAACACAGACTCACAGTCAAAGGATGGAAAACAATCCTGCAAGCAAACAGCTCCTTCAAAAAAGCTGGGGTGGCCATACTAGTATCCGACAACATTAATTTCACGTTGAAAAAGATTAGAAGGCTATTTTCTCCATCAAGGGATGCGCGCAACAGGAAGAAATCATACTCTTAAATGTATACACACCTAATGAGGGAACAGGAAAATATTTAAAACAACTGCTAACAGATTTTAAGGAGGACATTGCTAGCAACACAATAGTACTTGGAGACTTCAACATAGCCTTATCACCTCTGGATAGATCAACAAGAACAAAACTCAGCAAGGAATCATTGGCTTTGAAAGAACAAATAGAAGAGAAAGGGATTATAGACCTATACAGGGCTTTACACCCCAAAAAGAAAGAATACATATTCTTCTCCAGTGTGCATGGAACATTTTCCAAAATAGACCATGTGCTAGGCCACAAAACATACCTCAACAGAATCAGGAAAATAGAAATAGTATCAACCATCTTTTCAGACCACGATGCACTGAGGATAGAAGTGAATCACACACAGACACGGAGCACCAAATCAAACACCTGGAAATTAAACAACTCAATGCTGAACAACGAGTGGGTCAGGAACGAAGTCAAGGACGAAATCAAAAGAAACCTGGAAACAAATAAGAATGAAGACACGAGCTACCAGAACTTATGGGATGCAGCGAAAGCATTATTAAGGGGAAAATTTATAGCTCTGCAAGCATATCTTAGGACTGTAGAAAGGATGCAAAGAAACAATTGACCTCACAGATCAAGACCTTAGAAAAGGATCAACAAAAAGTGCCTAAATCAGGCAGAAAGAAAGAGATCATAAAACTTAGAGAAGAAATCAATGACATGAAAACCAAAGATACAATTCAAAAGATCAACGAAACCAAGAGCTGGTTCTTCGAGAAAATAAACAAGATAGATAAACCACTAGCAACACTCACAATGAAACAGAGAGAGATAACCCTAATAAACCGAATCAGAAATGAGAAGGGGGATATTACAACAGAAACCAAAGAGATCCGAAGGATCTGCAGAGACTGTTTTGAATGTCTGTATGCCACAAAACAAGAGAACCTAGAAGAAATGGATAAATTTCTGGACTCCTATAATCTCCCAAAGCTGAATCAAGAAGATCTGGAGTATCAGAAGAGACCTGGTCCTGGAGGTCTTTGGCTGCCGGAGCCCTGGTCGGGGCAGGGAGGAAAGCTCAACCCGCTCCCCCTCCAAGGGGCCCTGGTGGCGAGGGCAGTCAGGCGCGGGGGCAGGAGACTATAGACCTATTAACATCAAGGAAATTGAAACTGTAATCAAAAGTCTTCCCCAAAACAAAAGCCAGGTCCAGATGGATTAACTGGCAAATTTTTTCAAATATTTTTTAAAGAGGACCTACTGCCAGTCCTTCTCAAGCTTTTCCAGGAAATTGAAAAAACGGAAACTCTCCCAAACAGTTTCTATGAAGCCCATATCTAATACCAAAAGGAAACAAAGACACCACAAGAAAAGAAAACTAC